CACAGAGGTAAAGCATTTAGAGCGACCCCTGACACAGAGAAGGATTCAACAGAAGTTAGTTTTATCATTCTTCTTTTTCTTTCTTTTTTTTTTTTTGCATCTAACAAGAACTCTTTTAAATATTTAAGGGCTAATTTATTATTTTTTAATACATTTTTTGTTAGGATGTAATCATTATGGGGAGGCTTTGTAGTGACATATTCTGATTAGACTTATATTGTACATTATTTATATTGCCCCCATTGTTTCTCCCCCTGAGGCCTCTCCCCACCCCACTTAAAGCAATTGTTTCATGTAGGTATATGAAGTCTATAAATCATATACCATCACCTTAATCTCCTTCCTTCACCCTCCCCCTTCCCACTAGTCTACCCCTCTCCCCGTACCTATTTTACAGTCCAGGTTTTCATTATTAATATTCAAGTTGACATTCAAAGGGGTGTCTCAATGTATGCTCTCTGTGGGTGTGTTTTACTTTGGTCTGTTCAATCCCTTCGAACACTCTCCCTTTCCTTTTACCTTCCCCCCCACCCATTTTTCAAAGCTTTCAATACACATCCTTATATCCTCTACCTTCACATCTTATGTTATGCCATATACCAATGCTCTATCATCTCTTTCCCTTTCTCTCTTTCCCCAAGTTCCATAGAGTAGTTCCACTGTTACAAACATGTTCTACATCTGAGTTTGTATGTGATCATGCTTGTTTCTGTGTATATGTTTATCTTTGAATCTATCTTCAGCCTATGAGGAAAAACTTGTGGCTTTTGTCTTTCTGATCCTATTATTCTCATACATTCATGAAAAAATATCCCATCTATGCTCCTAATTTCTAAAATTATATGAAGAGGCTTAAATACTATTGACTGACTAATGAAGCATTTCAATTTGTTATTATAGAATTTATAAATTAACAATGCCATTCATATTATATTGGGCAAAATAAATTTGTTATGGCAACACCACACTAGTCCTGATAGATGATTGTCTTTCCTTTGTCATTTGTACATTTCAGGCTCCAACATCTGTTTGCTACTTTTCATTTCTCTGACACACAAAAGTATGAGATATTAGGAAGCAGTTGTGCCCCTTTTAAGTGTAAAATGTTAATCTCATAAAAAATGATAACAGCCAGGCACCGGAGGCCCACACCTGTAAACCTGGCTACTCAGGAGACAGAGATCAGGAGGATCATGGTTCGAAGCTAGCCCAGGGAAATAGTTCATAAGATCCCATGTTGAAAATATCCAACACAAAAAAGTCCTGGTGGAGTGGCTCAAGTGTCGGCCCTGAGTTTAAACTCCAGTACAGCAAAAAAAAAAAAAAAAAAAGAAAAGAAAAACAGCATGGGTATTTAATAACTTTTTATATGAGTCATTAAATTAAAATACTACCATCTATAGTGAAATGTATCAGATTTAGTAGGAACTACTAAAATTTACAGATTAAATTTATTTTGTTTTCTCAAAATAAATTTCAGCTATAGGCCTATTACTTTCCAAATGTAAATTTAGTTCTTAACTTTCAGGCTGAGCTGAATTTCTGTTATTCTTTCTTTTATTCATCTACTTTCTTTGAGCATGATAATGGGCAATGAAATGCCCAAAAGATGCAAGGGAAAGAGAAAAAGAAGAAAAGCACTGTGAAGTGAGTAAAGAAATAGACCTGAAACAACTGGGAGTACACTGTAGTGTTCTATATTATTTTCTACAGTGATAAGTGGATTTTAGACATACTTAAATCCTGGAGAGGCACTAAAAATAAAAATGTATAATTGAGGTCCGCATTTACTGGATAGCTACTTCAGTTTTTTTTCCTTGTAAAAAAAAGAACCTCCAATTTTCCAAGGCCCAACATCAAGTTAAATTAGAAATGAAGACTTTGGACTGCTGTACTGAATGAGGACTCAGGAGCCATGGTCTCCTGCCGTGGGCACCCATGAAGCTACTTCAGGAGGACAGCAATCAGCCTCACCTCCCCTGAGGAGCTCAGAATCCACTGAGATGGGCATCAACTAGAGAAAAGCAATTCCTTTCTAACCAAGCAGAGCTGCACTTGTACCAAATGATCTAGAAAGTGGGAGATCTTTCCAATTTATGATTTGTTTGAGGATAGGAAGTCTTTTTATGTCTGAGTTCTGGGATGTTTTTGCAGATACAGAAAATACCATGATGGATAGTGCTGGTTCTAGCAAGTCTCTGAAATTCTTTTCCCTCTGGCCAACAGTAAACTAGAATTCATCTTTTATGCTTGGAATCCAAGTTCTACACATTTTATAGTTAAACATGTGCAGCCAACCCTAAGCCTCATAGCAAGGAGTTGGATGCTTTTTGAAGCCTACATTGGAAGAATATGGCCCATTGTAATGGGTGATGAATGGGTTTTTGGTACAGTAGGAACACAGGGTCAGAGTCCAAGACATGGACACACCTCAGTTGCCAGAGATGCTCTGATGTGAGCAGGAGCTCTGTGATGGCTGAATTTCCACTCCCCCATGCATCCGTTGTAATCCTAACCTCCAGTGCCACTAACTGTGACTGTAATTGGAAACGGGGTGTTTAAAGAAGTAATTAAATTAAAATGGAGTTATTAGGGTGGGCCCTAATCCAATATGATTAGTGTTCCTGTAAGAAGAGGAAATTTGGACACAGACAGGTAGAGAGGAAAGATGACGAGAAGACACAGAGAAGATGGCCTTCTACAAATCGAGAAGTGAGCTGTAAACGGAACCACCCCTCCAACACCTCGATCTGGGACTTGTAAGCTCCAAAGTGTGAGAAAATGAATTTCTCTTCTTTCAACCACCCAGTCTGTGGTATGTGGTGATGGTAACCCACGAAACACCTAAGAGCTCTGTTTGTAGAAGCTGTTAAACCTCATTAGACAGTGTAAGTCAACACTCAGTGAAGGCGGGTCCCCTCACTAAGAGCAGGTGTTTCCACCTGTAGGGAGGAAGTCAGCCTGAAGAGGGGAGTTTGGAGAATATCAATGAGTTCAAGGGCCCTAGAGCAGATGAGGGGAAGAAGAGGGGAGAGTGCAAGAACGGAGGGACTTATGCATAACAAAACATTTTACTTTGCTTTCGTATTACAAAAGCTTTTTATGATCATCATAGAAATATTAAGAAATGCAGATGAGGAGAATGAAGAAACAGAATATAACTGGTCTCACCACTTGGAGATTTATGCATTTTGTCTTTCCAGACCTTTCCCTATAAGCACACAAATCTACATACATAACATATGATACATAATATATAAATATATGAGCAAAAATGGGACAACTTTTTGTGAACATCTTTTTGAGACAAGGTCTGCTATGTAGGCCAGGGGCTAGCCTCAAACTCACATTCCTCCTGTCTCAGTCTCACAAATGCTGGGATTGCAGGCATGTACCACCATGCCTGGCTTGTGATCATTTTTCATGTCAATAATTTTTCATTTATAGAATAATTGTCAATGTCTGATGCTATTTCTTTATATTGATTGTATTGTAGAAATGGAGCTGGTGGGTAGGATATGTCTAGGCTTAGGCATATGCAAAGGCTTTAATATATTTTTGCCAAATTACCTTCCAGAAAGGATATATCCATTTATATTCAGCAAGTCTATCTCAAGTGTAACATAAAGCCCTGTTACCAATTACTGCAGACTCAGCTGCTCAAGGACTTTCAGCCAAATTCCTAGGAAAGAAAGTGTGGAAACTTGAGGGCACTGAAAATCTGTGCTGATGACTCAGGACACTTAAGTGGCTTGGTGGAGGAGTGACCAGCGTTGATGGAAAGGCATTTCCACCTTAGCAGAGCAACAGGTGGGGCTAAGTGTGGCAGGATCAGCATGTCCTGCCCTGGGGATGGGAGCTGCCAGTTCCCCCAGGAGAGGCCAGACTGGGTCAGAGACTAGGAGTCTATTTGGAGAGCAGGGCACCCATGGGGTTGTGGAGAATGGAGAAGTGTGGAGAGGGGACTCACACTGTTCACTTGAGAGTGGAAGCCCTCTCCCCAGGGGCCTGTGAGGAAGCTGGGAGGGGCTGTGGGCTGAGGTTTTGGGGATTTCACTGCAAGGAGCCTGAGTTCACTGTGATTATGACCCCGGCTTGTTAGTTTTATCCCTTGAGCTTTCGGGGCCTGGGAAAATACAGGTTATTCTAGAGAATGAGAGCAGAAGGACTGATAGCCTTTGCCGTTTTGTGCATTAATGGAAGAGGCTATTTGATTTTGGTTCTTTGCCCAGTATAAGACATCCCAGGGGGCATACTTAAAACCAAGCTAATCTTTAATGAAAAACTAAAATGTTTTATTTTATAAACATGAAAGCTATGTGGCACATGATAAAGTGTGTTGGCCAGTAAACTTCTACATAATATGATAAATAAGATAGGATCCTCTTGGGAGAAGAACTTGAACGTCACTCATCACTGGAAGACTTCAAAAGAACGTTCACCAGCAGGAGTGCCTCTGAGGAAGATAAGCAGTAAGCTCTGGCTTAGTTTTAGCTGATGCCTGTGGGAAAGGGGCTATCTGTCACCTCTTACTGTGATCAGGATGCTTGGAGCACTTAGCTGCCCTTGGCTTTTGTCCCTTTGCTGATAATATATAACATACATACCAGAAAGATAGTCACACCAATGTGGATGTATTGGACATATGAGTGAGGAATCGACAAAATTGTATTTGGCTTCTTTGATATTTATTTTTTTCTTTTGGTGGCGGTGAGAATGGAATCCAGGACCTCCTGTGCTTAGCTCCACTGCCACGCTAAGTCCCCGGCCCCTTGGCTTCTTTGAAATGTAGGTTTAGCTGCCAAAATTGCTCCCCTAAATTAATGTAGGTTCTGTACATTTGCCCAAAGCAATGAATAAATTTCCAATAAAATAAATAATTTCTTTTCCTGGATTCTTTCCTTCTATCTTCAAGAGGTACCATGGAGAACTAATCATTTCGTAATCTCACTGACTACAGCCGATGAAATTAAAAATGGTTATGGAAAAACCGGGCTTACCATCTATCACTGGTTTTGGCTGAGAACTTTTGAGGCGCAGTGATGGCCGGAAGCGGGTTCGGTCGTTGAAACTCCAGCTCTTCTGCACTTTGGTGGGACTGCCCTCGGCTGTGATGTCGGTGCTCGGGGACCTCCTGTCACCTACTGAAGCTTGTCTGCTCTTAATACTCTGGCCCCTCGGGCTAGCCATGCGCACACGCTCCTTAAAACTTAGCTTCTGACTGTGGAAAACAGAGGCACAATTATTCCATTTCAAGAAATTGCTTCCGTTGCACTCGGGTCAATCTTCTGAGAAACTGTACGTGGCTATATATTTCACAGGCACAACGGTGGAGCAAGTAGGAACATAATGTATTTCTCCATTATTGAAAAGTTGAGCTTTACTTAATCTGTTTGTGTTCATTTGTAATTCGTCTCATTTTATAGGCATACACACACTTTTTGGATTCATCACAGTAAGATCTGAGACCAGGTACAGCAGTTTGTACCAGATTGCACTGGCGATAACCAGGGAGTGGTTTGGAATTCACTTTAAAAACTACTGGGTGATTTTAGCTTTTCCCCTAACTTTAAGATTTGAAAAACAAAGTAGTCTTGTTTGGGAGCATATCTCTTTGTAATTTCTTAACATCTCTATAGGAAAACAGGGATGACAGTTACACATGTCCCTACATTCAGCATGCATTTTATCTTCCAGGCAAGATTATGGTATCCATAAATTCATGCAATTTCATAGCGGTTGGTAGCACTGCATACACATTATACATACAACACTTAACATTACGGTTCTTTTATGCTTATATGCATTCTTCTGAGACAGAAACCACACAAGGTAGAACAGCCTCAACACGTAATGAATGTGATGACTGATTAGCGGAATGCAATGTAGTGTTCACTTACACAATTTCCTGCTATTAAACAGGTTGTTGATTTGCTGTGGCAGCTACTGGTAAGTTATATGTGTTTAAACATTCAGTTCTTTGAGGCTGGCCAGAATTGAATTGTTATGGTCTGATCAAGGAAGCATTAACAACAACAATAAAACCCCAAATACATCTTTACACTTGCCTAATCAAGGGATGTGGTGTGATGTGCTGGGGGGTCAGGCAGGGTGGAGTCAAAGAAACTTGGGTTTTGAAGTCCTTATCTCTAGTATTAGGATACAAGTGGCAGCAAGGTAAGGAATTTTTGTAGGAATCAAATGAGCTATAGGAAGCTTTGCATACCCATTTTGTTTGATTTCTTGTTTCTTTTACAAAGTGCTTGTGCTATGCATTAGAAGGCCACACAATATTATCAATGTGTGACTCAGAAGAGCCTAGAAAAATATAATGGGGCAATGGATGTGAGGGGAGGTTGCTTGGAGCACTACTTGGAGTCATGCTGCAGCCTCCGTGGGGGATGAAGGAGCGTTCTCAGGGGTAAGGATTGTCTGAGACGAAGTGGAGGTCTTGTCTTTTCCACTTACCGCAAGGTCCACTGTCCACAGCTGCAGCATGCCAACAGCAAATGTTTTTAGTGGACATGTGTTTCATAGCTAACAAGAAACAATAACATTTATTTTTCCATGCCTATTTGTTTCACAAATGATATTCTAAAAAGGCACTATGTTTTATGTGTGTTTACATGAAAACAAATCAAATCATGAGCTGTGGTGGTCAGAGAGTTCTGGTTACAACAGAGGAGTTGACCATGCAGTTGACATCACCCTTTCTGAAAGCAGACACAGCAAAGCCCAGCGCGACCAGCTGAAGGCACATGCAAAGAGCAGGCTGGGCAGTTTTGTGATGAGTTCAAGAGTTCTTGACAACAGGCCCATCAGCCCAAGGGCTTCTCTAGACTTGACAAATGTGTGATTAAATGATAGATTACGTTAAACAAGAGTGACAATAACATCATAAAACTGCATCTTTTTATTCTCAGCTAAGTTCTTCATGTCATCCAAAAGCCTTCAATTATTTAAACAAATCCATCAAAGGGATAGAGTCCAAAATGTTTACTTTTTGTAATCTTTTTTTAATTGTAAAAATTTCAATCTTTCTGATTTCAATGCATCTAAACCATAATTTAATTTATGATCATCTGGTTCAGGACACATAGGCTCACTCCTGCAGCTTGATTTAGGTTAATAACTGCACAAGTAGTCCTCACTACGTCTGGTCTTTGGTAACAGTACCTGTTCTCAAACTAACAGATGCTGTAGAAGGGTGACTACAGTAAACGTCAAATTACTCTCCCAAATTTTCAAGATATGTTTCTTTCCTAAGCCAATGAAATGAACAGGCAACTGTTAAAAATCATAAAACAATTTAATATGGCCTTTCTTTTATTCCTTAAAAAAAAAATCTGTTTTTGGCTAGGGGCAGTAGCTCACACCTGTTAATCTCAGTTACTCCAGAGGCAGTGATTGGAGAATCATGGCTCAAGGCCAGCCCAGGCAAAAAATTAGCAAGACTCTAGCTCAACAAGTAAGTTGGGTGGTGGCAGTGTACACCTGTCATCCCAGTTACCTGGGAGGCATACACAGAATTGTGATCCAGCCCAGCCCAAGCAAAAATGCAAGACCCTACCTGCAAAAAGGGCTGGGGGTGTGGTTCTAGTGGTAGAGCTCCTGTCTAACAAGCATGAGTCTCTGAGTTCAAACCTTGGTACCACCTCCCCAAAAATTTCGATGACTAAAAGAGTATAAAATATCTAAATTGAAAGTATCAACATTAAACATGGTTTATTTATGATAAGATATTTAAGAATTGCTTCTACAAATCTGTTTTAAAATTGTCCCTATGAAATATTTTGACATTACTTCTATGAATTAATGGAAAGTAGGAATAAAATTCTCTAAATCACAATACCATTTAAAGCACTTAAAATTGATAAATTAATTCTAGATGTCACTTCCTTTTTGTCCTTCTGAAGTATACAAGTATTTGCTAATACCTCAGATTTTTAGAATTTCCAAAAACTATTTTAAAATAAACTCAAAAAATTACACACCAAATTAGAGAAGATGTGATGTTTTCACTTTCTCTTTTCACATAATGGTATGAAAATTCAGAATAATATCCTAACCCAGAACTTTTTAACTAGGCAAAATTTTTTACCCTAAGGCAAATATGTGTTTGTGTGTCCTGTCATGGAAAAGCTCACTTTTATTAGTTGTTCTACTTCAGTTCCCCTTTGGAAATCAACAGAGCATCTAGATTAGATAAGTAATAAACTGATTAGGTAGCTGTTACTGAAAACACACATCGATTAAAAATATAGATTCTTCACTGGTACATTCAAATTTCCATTATTTTCTTGCCTTTTTCTGGTGACATTTATAAGCAGGACTTTTGAGGAAGATTTATGTAACAGCAATTTTAGGAAGAATACCACGAATGATCCCCTGGAGGCCAATAAGGAGGTCTCTCTTTGGAGAAAGTAGGCAGAAGGTCGCTGTGGTCATTGATTGGTGCATTTTAGGATGCAGTCCTGCATTCCCAGCTCAGGGGAGTCTGCCCAACTGCTCTGTACTTGAGGGTTGAACCCCTGTCCAGAACCACATGTACCAGTCACTCAAATGGTTCAGCATGCAGTTGACTACTGGATGCTCCCTGCCAGGAACTGTGTGGCACCATAACCCCATGGTAATCCTCCAGCACTTAGAACGCTGTAGTTATTGTTATACTTAATTGAGGTTTAGCTCTTCATAGGATAAGCATTCTACAAATTTTCGCCTCAGGCACAATAATGGCAACCCGAGCCTTAACAATCCAATGCGTGCAGCAGCTTAGCAGCTGTTCAGCCACAAGGGGGCGCCAACGGGCTGGCTGCCGGTCCTAGCTAGGACCTTGCCTATTTGTCCCAGTGGGGATTAACAAAAGCAGGCAACAGGCAACAAGGAAAATTCCAAGCGGGCTGGAAACCTCATTCGAGAAGTCCCTAGGGAGAGTGAGTCTGTGAACAGGGCTCAGGTGGGGTGGCGTGTAACCTGGTCATGCACCTGAGGTTAGTTGACATTCTCAAATCTCATGTCAATAGCTGGGATGCTGGGTACCTCTGCTTCCGTGAGGTGTACATTCTGAAGAGCTTCTGCTTATTACTACAGAACTTACTAGGAGTGAGGGAAATAGAGCAGCGCATTACTAAGCATTTCACCACCAGGAAAGTGCTTAGGGATTTCTTTCTTTCTTTTACTAAAAACAAAGGCATTTCACTTTATGGGTTTTTAATATATAAGTACGTAGGCTATATAAGCAGTGAGTACTAGGTAGTTTAATTGTGCTGGTTGAAATACGCCAGTGCTCTTCATGGTTAGGCAGAAGTAATTAGATTTGAACTAGGCATTGCAAATGATGGTGGTCTATGTGTTAGCATCCATCAGTTTCAGGTGAAAATAACTACAAACATTTTAGACTGTAGCAAGCTCCTCTAGAAAATATCAATGCAACATAATATAAGTGACTGGGGAATAAAATACTTTAGAAATTTGCAGGATAAATATTTACAGAAATCAATGATTACATGAATTGCTTGGAAATGTAGAGATAGCTAGTTTTTTATCTCTGTGAGACACCAGCAGTTATAGTTATATAGGTAACTGTCAGATTGGATACATACTAAAAAAAAATGAACAGAAGAAAAGATTCTAGGCAGCTCCTTTGTTAATAAAAAAGGATGTTTCTTATTTTAAGTCCTGTGATATACTTTAAAAGAGTAAATCCTTTCCCTCTATCAATAAGCGTGAACAGAAGGAGAGATGATTTTGTAAAGACTGTTCTGGAAACAAGCTAACATTTTGCCAGTAAGGACCCAAACTGACTATGCTGGGAAAAAGTAAAGTCTAGTCATACTAAGTTTAATTTAACAATACTTGCAGATTATTCATTGAACACAGAAAAAAATGTAGCTAATGGAAGGTAAATACAGAAGAAAGACAAGAACACACAATAAAATTCCTTCCACAAGTGCACTAGAGTTCCGTTCAAGAGTCTCACACCATCTTAAAACCCAATAAAAGCCAACATGCTGGAGCAGTGTAGACAAACCATCAATGAGTCACAGCACAAGATTGTAATGTAATAAAAGAATATTATTTGTGCCTTAACTTTTAGGACATGCATCTTATGTCAGTCTTACAGGCAACTGCTAAGGCAAGTTTAGACAGTCTGCCATCTGAGAAGTTTGAGGGGCTTGTGGCAAGGCTTCGTAAACTGGAAGTGAGGCAGCTCCATACTTAGCCATTGTTTATTTACACAGGAGGAGCGGAGGCAGCAGTGAGACTTATAGGTAATCCCCAAATCTCAGAGGGTAGCAATGAAAATTTAGGCAGGAAGAGGAAAACACTTTCTTATACCAATGTAATGACTCACTGACCACTACCTGAGGGCCTGGTCAAGGAGGAAACGGTGTGGCCAGGGTGTGGTTCACTGGTAGAGCACTTGCCTAGCATGTACAAGGCCCTGGGTTTGATCTCTAGCACAGAAGGAGGCGGGGAGGGGGAAAGAAGAAGAAAAACATAGGAGTTCAAGGGGAGAATACTGGGTTAATGTGGCAGGTGACAACATTGGGTTAGTGTTCTCAGGTAAATTCTATTCTCTGAAAATAACAATTTGTACCATACATAGAAAAACTGTCCAATTTAAAAGATGAGTAGGAATAATTACTTAATGAGATGATTAAATAGAATAAAATTAGTAAAACATTTATGACTGCATATATGAAGTTAGACTGATTTAGTGGGAAGACAGAGGGAAATAAATGAACAATAAAATGATGATAAATTGTATTTATGGTTTAAGGAAAGGATGAATAGAGCAGGCTCAGCTAAGAGCAACAGTGATTTGTAACTGACCCTTACCAAAGACAGCCAAAGAAACAATATTTCAGTATTGCTCAGTTGAGTTATATTTAAGTTTTTTCCTTGGGACTGATGGTTTGTACTTTTAAAGAAAGCTTTTGGATCTGTCACAAACAATACAACATTGTTTCTTAGCCTGAGATATCATAGATAAATTTTGTTTAAACATACCCTAGCTTTAGTGTAGAAAGACAAAACTTCTCTTTTTGACAAGAACATTCCAAAGTAAGGAACATAATTAACTGAAGGTTACATGAATGTGTTTGACCTCCATCTATTCTGCAGAGAGAAAAGTCTTTGGTGAATGGCCGTCTGTGATGCCTGGAACCTGGGAGAGGGGTGACAGCTGGTGCGTTGAGTTCATCTGCACTTGGGTTGCTCCTAGCTTTTTTTAATATTAAGAAAAACCACAAAGAAGGATTTAGGAGATTCCACACTCTAAGATATATGAAAGGTAAAAAAATTGGCCCCTCCTTGGGCTGAATGTTTTCTAATCTGCTTATCTGAACCGCCTTCAATAACCCAATAGTGCAAAGGCTGTGAGGGGCTCTACGCTATTGGGCTGTGCTAATTAGTTCCTTTGAAATGGGGTCAAGCATTAATTAACAATAGTCTGGATCCAGAGCTGCTGCTCTTCTCTAAGGGAGTGCTCTCATTATAAATGCATTTTCCTTTGTGCATATTTTGCTTGAGTAAGGACAAATTTGTTATTTTCTAAGATGGCGCTGTTGCTATTGTTATTACAATAGTCTTTCCGCATTCATTATGCAATATTATAAATTCCATTGCATATGGAGCACAAGGTAAAAGCCAAGGCAATATTAAAATGGGAGTTTCAATGTGCACAATTTTTTATGTGTCAATTAAAAAAAGAAAATTAAATAAGCAAAGTCGTTGCTTATTTTTTTCAGATTATTGCAATGCTTTTAATTTTCTCTCTTTATATTTTCCCTTATTGTGTTTTTTTTTCCTGTCTTCCACATGAACTATACTTGAAGTAGGGACATTTTATTACTTTGTCCAAAAATAGTTTATTGAGCACATTCTTTGCCATAGCTTTACATAGATGATGTGATAGATAGATAGCCGGGGGACAGGAGACACGAGTGTGTGAAGTATGAGATATTAAGCAAGCAAGGTATCCAGGCTAGGTAGTAGCATAGGACTTGTTTCAAGTTAGATTTCAAATTGTCAAATGTCCAAGGACTGCAGAGAAGCAAGAAATTTCTGGATGATTCTTTAAGTTATGAATTGAGCTTGGTGGTCCTGTATATATTCAAATCTGAGGTGAAAACCTCAGTCACAAGCATGCAAAAGAGATTTAAATGTTTTAGATGCAAGTGAACAACATGAAATTTTGAAAATTTTATTGGTAGTCCTTTTGTACTGGGACAGATGACTGGAAGACTCATTGTTTGGACTAGTGAGCAGAAGCTCAAAAGTGACACTTCATTTTCTGCTATCCTAACATCTAGAAAATGCACTAGCCCAGTCATCCCTCACTGAGGATGGTCATAAGAATTTCTGAATACTTTACAAATGTCCCTTTGGGTGTTAATACTTCCCTTTCGGAGGATGAAACCAAGATAGGTGAACTTACTCTCTAGTAGTTCTAGAATTTATGCCAAAGATGGTCTCTGCCCTTTGAATTTGGAAACAAACGCCCTTTGAGATAATTTGTAAAAACAGATAGCTCCTGAGAAAGGGAGGCTTTTTAAATATCACCAAAGAAATTAGAACAGTTTATAATGGCTATGATTTAATTTAGTTTGTGTTATTTTGTTCAAGTAATGTTGACACAACAGAAGGGTGATGAAGGCTGTGTGAAAACTGCAAAAAGGACCAAGGGCCAGACTTAGCTTGACTCTTCCAGTGCTGCAAAGAATACTGAGCCGAATGACTAGACCCTCTCTTTGGTCAGAAATATCTCTGAAGTGGCGAAGACCAAGTGTTCAGTCAACTACACTGTCTGGAAGTGTCACCTGGGAGTGTCCAATATCCTTTGCTCTAACTCTATGGCTACCAAGTAGGAGAGGATCTTTAATGCCATCTCCACATAGGCTCATCTACACAGGAGTGCCTAATGGTGTATGTCCTACCACATCCATCTTGTGTATAGATGAATATATTTGTCCTAATTTGGTAATCTTTTAAAGTGCTAATACAAGAATGGTTAACCCAAGGCCCCATTACCCTGTGTAAACTTTTAAAGCTCATTTCATTATTGAATAAATATTTTATAATTAATGCCATTATTACTATACTACAAAGCTAGACACATATTGACTCCCACCTAGAAGCCAACTCTGGGAAGGAGATGTCTTTGTTTCCTGTTTACTGCAACAAGTGCCAAGGATAGGAAAAATGTGCTCTTCTTCCCTTCCAGGCACCTGGTATTCCCTTGTTGCCACTCCTTACACCATCAGTGCAGGATCCACCCATCTCTGTTCTTCAGGGTCTTTTTCCCAAATCCAAACCCTTCCTGTTACTTATTAGCACAGATGAAAATGTTCTCTTTTATTTTCTGTTCCCTCTAGGTCTAGTTCTATTTAATCTGATAAAGCACTTCCTTGTAGGGCATGGGAGAGTGAACTTGAGTTATTTGGAGAAGTTTTCTGTCTGGGTGTCATCTTCCTGAGGGACAGAGGGACTCTTCTTTTGAACTGGATCACCTGACTAAGCCTCAGTGGGCTGGAGATAGCCCAGAGAGATGCTTCTCCTCCTGTACGCAGTGTACTTCTTGCTAAAATAATACAATAAAAACTCTCCACCCCCAAAAGCAGGATCCCAATGAAGGAAAGTGAATCATGGGCTGCTGTCCAAATCCATAGTGTTCAGAAAAACATCCTTCATTTCTAAACCCTCTAGATTACTACTTTTGAACACTTGGATAAGAATTCTGTCTGGAAAAACGGCATCGTGGAGTAATCAAAGTGTATAATTACTTTTGTCCCCAGAATGTTCTATGCCCTGCAGTCTGTTAAAGCAGGGAGTGAGTTAGGGAAGATGATTCTGCTCCCAAGGAGGAAAAAAAATCAATAAACCCCAGCAAACTTTGCAGGCAATCTGTGAAAGGTCACTTTTAATCACCTTGTATTGTTGATCGATTTTACTCATGAGACACATTTAAAACATCTGCTGGCATCAGATTTATAAACAAATGTAGCAAAAAGAGAAATCACAAACCTGCTTGATGTTTCCCCTTGTTCTTTCCTTCAGGTGCAGGCGGACAGAAGAGAAACGATGACAAACCGGTGAATACATTTATAGAACTTGATAATGGCCAAATTGGAGACTGGGGAAATCAGGTACCTTGAATAACTGTTTTCAAGTAGGATCCACAAAAGTAACATTACTTATAATTAATGCACCCAATTTTGTATCATATGTTCTTTTGGTGCAGATCCGAGGCAGCATTAATTGGCAAATCCAATACTGCCCAGATAGCCACACACCATAGACTCTTCCTTTGCCAGAGTTATCCATGGCCAAGAAAAAAGTGCTGGTGATGAATCTGCCGTACCCAGCATTAGTATTGCTGGTTACAATGCAGCTGCAGTTCCTGTGCCTAAGGCAGACTTCCAGACTACTAAATCTGGATTCATTCATCTGTGTGTCCATGACTTTGTACTTCATCACTGTTGACGCAGATTATTTTTTTCTCCTGTTCTTTAAAGTAGGAATTCCCATGGAGTAAGTAAAGTACATAGAAAATCTCTCTGATTCTAGCCTACTGTTGGGTGGCATTTTAAATAAATCACTGTAGTAAATTTAGGTCTAGGCAACACTGTGCAGGGCCACTACTCTTTGCAAATCAACTGTGGGCCTTTGCACAAGCACCTCACTTTCTTGTGGGTCTTGGTGCTCTTATGATTAAATGGGAAGGCTGTATCACGTAGTCTCTAAATTCTGACTTCTAAAAGTACCTTTGGCATCCTTGGAGCTTGATAATTTCCTATAGCTTCATAAAATATTCCACTTACTCTATAAAGTAGCACTTTTACCTGTGCTTCATCCTTTCCATAACCTTCACTGACTTTGAGAGGAAAATCAGGAACAATATTTCCCTCTACAAACCCTTCTTTTTTTTAAACAAAACTTTGAAATAGCAACTGCTCAGACCTCTAAGATGTGTTGCATGTAAGAGAAAAGCTAGGTCTAAAAAGAGCAAGAAACTGCTGATCTCTATTCCTGGTGAGTCTGAGTGGGTACGGCATGACCCTCTGCCTGTGCATCTCTCCCCCACACAGTTTTATACTACTCCCTGAGACGAGCTTGTGGAGTGAACGCATCCTACTGCATCTCTGCAACAGTGGGGAACCAGCACACAGGGCTGGCATTTTTTAATAACAATAGCTTTAACGATAATGATGGTGATGATGCTCTGGATAACATGATCTTTTCTCTGACCACCTATTTAAAATTGCAGCCCCTGACACTCCTTATTTATTTCTCTATTTTACTTTTCTCCTTAACACTATTGTCACCTCACATATTTTATATTCTACATATTTATTTTTTATTATCTATCCCCAGTATCCCTTGAGTAAATACTTCCTGAGCCCTTAGATTCTAACTTGTTCGTTTTTTTCCCCCTTACTACTGCATAATTTCTAGGCCCCAGAACAGTGTTGTGCTCATAGTAGGTTTTCAGTGAATACTTATTGAATGGATACATAGAAGAGTCAATGATCTTATTTCTGTACAAGTTCTTAGACTCTCAGTCCTAAAAGGAAGCTCTGGTTTGTTTCTTACTACATCACTCTGCATTCAGTAAGCCAGCTAATTATAAGTGTAAAAATATACCTCTAGGTCATTGTAAATTATTCTTCTCACAGACTTAAAACTTTGACTAAGTAGGTTTTCTTTCTAATGCAAAGGTTTTGAACTTGGCTTCAGGGAGTCTGTGAATACACTAAAATTATAGGCAAAGTTTTGATGCTTTGTGCATTGAATATTATTCTTAGGGAAAAAGCCCATAATTTGAGTTACATTTTCAGTGATTTAACAAGGAACCACAAGACAACAACAACAACAAGAACTGCAAGAATACCAAAGTATCCCTGGAGAAGAGGCATTAGGGCATCTAGATTCTTACGAATTTTGCTAGTGACTGCTGTGTCATTCCGGACAAATGACTGTTCTTCAGTCTATTGGGCTGAACCTCAGGTTAATGAGGTTGCAGGGGAAGGTGAGTGAGGGATGACTGAGAGTCACAAGGGGGCAGGATGAAGACAGTGTTTGCATCAATCCTCCTCCACCTCCACCCCCATTTAAACCAGGAAAGTATCAGAGGAAAAGAAGAAATTGTGTGAGCAAAATATTAGTTGATGCACTGGGAGAATTTGACTCATTATTAAATACCTTCTCCAGGCTTCAGAATGACTTTTAATCCAAAAACTGCAGTAAGTGGAAAGCCAGATAATCACATATGATAATACACCATTTTCTTCTGTCACTTGAGAACCTTCTATCATTTTTCCTACTAACCTTTCTCTTTTACATTTATCTAGAACAATTCATGAAGATGAGAAATATAATTTCCATGTAATTCTCATTTTTGATTCATGTACCCAAGGAAATAGATGACCCAAGAGTGATGTTCTTTTTTTTACACCAAAACTTTGAAAGGATGTAATATTTAATAAAAAGGAATTCAACTAAATTTCAAGATCTAAATGAAAAGAGAATGTGAATCCACACATTCACTCAACAGCATTCAGGCTTGAATCCTTGATATGATTCTGTGTCCCCAAAGTCCTAGGGAGGCAGGAGGCTAGGAATATCTCTGTCCCAGGTGCTGACAGTTTTAGACACAGACCTCTAGGAGATGTGTCCTACCAGTGCATAGGAATCATCTTACCAGTGCTTGTTCTTTTGTCTGAGAGTAGGAAGAGATGCCCAGGGCAAAACAGGGAGGCCGCTTAACAAATCCTGGTAGCTACAATAACTTTACTGCTTCCCGATGGATTGCATGATGCTGTACCACAGCCTGGCACTAATCCTGGCATGCCAAGCAATGAATCAGGAAGATGTTCCCAGCTGACCTCCTTCCAGATCCGTAAGAACAAGGTGGCTTTGTGAAGTGCCTTGAGTCTCATGAAACCACTAAGGTTAAGTAAGGTTTTGTTGAGTTATGAAGGGAAATGGCCAGTGCTCTAAAACGCTAAGGCAGATAAGTACTTTAATACCTTTTGAGCAAGCTGAAGAACTGACAGTTCTCATCAAACTGGGGTGTCATAGACTTTCTCGTGGCGTACTGACTTTGGTGTTTCAGTGAGGGCTTCTTAACTTGGATGCTGATTATGACTTACCATACTCCCTGTTTGTTGAACTGGAGTTCAGGACCCTAGGACTTAGACTGTTTTTTTTTCTAAATTAAAGATCGCTGTGGTGATCATTAGGACTATTAATAGTTTTTCTGATTCTCCTTTACTTCAGGTATATGCTAGGACTGTGCTAGTTTAGACATAGTGGACGGCCTGCTTTGGCCAGTGAAATGTGAATGGAAATAGTTATTACTTTGAAATTTCGAGTGTTTGTGGTCAGTACCATAATCCTGTTAGATTCCAATTGTTCTCTTTCTCTTCCTTTTTTGATAATGATATTAGTTTGGTCTGCAAGTGAAAGCTTGAGGACATCCTATAAGGGGATCAGATGAGAAATGACTTGGGCAGACTTAAATGTGCAACGCGACATTGCTTTTAAAGCAATTCTCTCTCGAGGTCAGGTGATGGGTGGAAGATAAATAACCCTGACTTTTCAAGAACCATGGTGTTTGCCTTTGGAATTCTGATAGGCTTTATGAGATATTAGAAAATTAGCCTGAAATAGGAGAAAGAAATCCCTATGAAAGTTTACGTTCCTTTAATCTTTAATCCAGGTCTGTGGATGGTGAGTAATGATACTGATTCCATGCAGTTTTGTGCTCAGGTTACTACTAAAAAGATTTACATCCATTTAAGAGCAATAGAGAATAAGTCAAGTCAAAAATCCACACTTTTTTTTGTGTGTATATTATTTTAACAGATGAGAAAAGACTGAACTACAGCACCAGCTGTCACATTGATACCTACTTGGTAGGGCTGCAGGTGTGCAAGGCCTTCAAGTGTGGCTTCCAGGTTGCAATAGAAACAGATTTCTCATCAGCTGCATAACTACGCCAAACACACTGCATGTGACGTACACAGAGACACAGAGGGAAAACAAAAGAGAACAGAAAATAGAATGAAATAAAAAGGCAGATTATTCATTTCTTACACATTAAGAATCTCTTCCTCATCATCCTTTTGCTCTCATAAGTGCCCCAAAGAAGCAAACTGGTTGGCTTTTATAATACTGTACCACATCAAAATTGTTTTTCAAAACAACTCACTCCAAAAAAGCAACAGCACCAAAAGGTGCTCCATAATGCAATTTTTGAACTAGAGAGAAAAACTACATTATCTGAACCAAAATGGTCTTCATTAACTGGCTCAATAAATAATGATGTCCAAGACACTAGTTAAGTAAATTACCTGAGCATAAACATATACTCTGGGGGATATTTGATAAGTTGGATGCATAGAATTACCAAAAAAAACTCACTATGTAATTAGTAAACTAACTAGTAAACTAATGACCTCTAGGGCATGTTAATGATTTAATCAGTGAAATCCCTGAAGTTGAACCATGAAATATTTCTAATGTTAAAAATGAAGATAATAAGCCAGGTGCCGGTGGCTCACACCTGTGATCCTAGCTACTCAGGAGGCAGAGATCAGGATCAGAAGGATTGTGGTATGAAGCCAGCCCAGGAAAATAGCTTGCATGACCCTATCTCAAAAAATAGGGATGGTGGAGTTTCTCAAGGTGTAGATCCTGACTTCAAATTCCAGTACTGAAAAAAAAAAAAAAAGAGAAAAGAAAAGAATGACAGCTGGGCATTGCTCAGGAGGCAGAGATCAGGAGGATTGTGGTTGGAAGCCAGCCCAGGCAAATAGTTCAAGAGAGCCTATCTCAAAAAAAAAAAATCCTTCACAAACAAGGGCTCACCAACTCTCAAGTAGTAGAGTGCCTACCTACTAAGCATGAGGCTCTGAGTTCAAACCCCAGTAATCACAAAAAAAAAAAAGCAAAATGCGGGGCTAAACAAGATAGGTGAGAATATATTTTCCAGGAATATAATTGAAAACTAAGGATTTAATGTCATGATCTAAGAATATGTTTTTTATGTCTTTGCTGTAAAAACATAAGCTCTGTCTACTACACATAATCATACCTGAAATTTTCATGTTATTCTTACTATAAAATGTGGATTAAGACCCTTGTTTTGTATATAAGAAAATAAATGCTCAGATAGATGAAATGGCTCATCCAGGTTGGGAGAGCTGAAACAGTGCCTCTAATTGTCTGGCGCTTGGTCCTAGCCCTCCACTGGGAATTTTGCTGACTGCCGATGACTGTGGTTGCCATCTGAACTGTCCATTTGAGAGATTGCTTGTACTTACTTTCCCACATAGAGCCTGGTAAATTTATTCCTTTTGCAATGACCCTGCAAACATCTCTAATGACCAAGACCTTGCTCCAATCTCTTCAGAGAAAATTTTTTATTATGATTCATTACTCAGAGCATTCTATTTTATATGGGAAATTCATTTAAATGGGTCATATCCCTACTGTATAACCACCAGTCATGATTTGGAAACCTACAATGAAGAAAAAATGATCTAATTATATTCTCTTTCCTGAGAATATCATTGAGTAAAAATGAGCTGAATAGAAAGCTAAAAATTGGCACAACTACTTTGAAAAACTGTCTGGTGGCATCTATTAAAGTTTAGCCTGTACATATACTATAATACAGCTGTGCATTCCTAGATAAATACTCAATAGAGAAGCCCAAAGACATGCACAGAAATGTCTAGACATCTATCAACAGTAGCAGAAATAGGAAACTTGTGGTATGGTAACATAATGGAGGACCGCACGGTCATAGCTCATTGTAACTGTGCGCAACAATACGGATGGGTTTTCTGTGAATAATGTTGAGTGACAGAAACAAGAAGCAAGAGCACTTTTCCAGAATGTACGAAAACCAGGGAAAACTACTCTATGCTGTTAGAAGGTAGCACAGTGTTTATCCTTGTGGAATAGTGATTGAGAAAGGAGACATAGGAACTCGTGTTCTGCTTATCTGAGTGCTGACTATGTGGCAGTGCTCTGTTCTCTTAGGAAATGTGCTGTTTTCTGCATGCATATTATACTGCAGTGGGATGTTCAGAAAGTGACATGAAAAAGTTAAAAAATACATAGTAGAACCTGAGGGATGTTTTATGTTTTGAAGGAAGTTTTTTTTTTTTTAAATATTCTCAAGCAGGAATCCTTACCTGAAGCCTTGCCCACATGGCTCATGTTGATTTAACCAAGAAATCTATGGAAATTTGTACTAAGCATCTTGGCATCTTAATAGATGGTAAAGAAATTACCATCATATCTTGAACTGTTACTTTTTGCAACTGCACATATACATTTTTTAAAGTGATCAAGAAAAACAAACAAAAATGTCTTGTTTTTTCTTTTATAAAATTGGAGAACAGGAGCAGGAGGGTGGAACAGATCCTGCCGAGGGGGGGGTGGTACTGGTGGGAGGGAGGAGGAGGAGGGGAAAAGTTATAGGAGGGTGCATGTATGTAAGTGAAAAAACGAGATCTGTTCAAACTATTCTGGTAATGGAAGGGGGGAGGAATAAAGAAGAATGGTGGAAGGGGTGAATTCAAGTATGAATTTGTAAATGCTACAATGTACCCCCACCCAGCACAACAATTAAAAAAAATAACAAATACCAACACATGGGTTTATTATTGCAGACTCTGTCATAGTGAGGCCCAGAGAATCTCCAGAACTGAGAGGGCATAGAATGCTGCTTTAGTTGAATAATCTCCACAGAAGGCAGGACAAATATGTAAGCTCTGATACTCTGAAAGCAAGACTCACGTACAGCTAGATGCACATTGCAGATTCATAAATTATTTGATTCTATTTAAAAATAATCCCAAACAAGAATACAACAAAAAATGGCACCAAGGCATTATCTGTTCATATTAAAAAAGGGCACTCAGAAAATTGAAGATTTTCTTTACAATAATATCTAGCATCTTGCTCTTTTTCTATCAAATTGATTTCAAAGGCTAAGCTCTTGCTTCCTTCATTACTCATATCTTAAAAATGCCTTGTAAATGAGAAATACAGAAGGGGCAAGTGTGTCCCTCAATCAAAGTGGAAGTGGAAAGTATAACTCTGTTACTCTTATACTTGTCCTATTTTTGTCTTGTCCTTGATCTCAGCTAATTGGTTCTACTAGCTGAAATCCAATCCCATGTTTGTGTGATCCAGTACCTGATGTTCCTTTATTTAAAGCCCAAATCGCATAGAGGTTGGCAAGAGAAAAATAACACTCCAGGAAATTTCCTATGGTTTATCTACTCCAAAGGACAAGTTAACAAGAAGCAAAAGAAAACCCAAGTTATGGAAACAACCAAGATGCCCCACTACTGATGAATAGATCAAGAAAATATGGTACTTGTACACAATGGAATTTTACTCAGCCATGAAGAAGAATGAAATGTTTTCATTTGCAGGTAAATGGATGGAACTGGAGAACATCATTCTGAGCAAGGTCAGCCAGGCTCAGAAGACCAAAAATTGTATGTTCTCATTCATATGTGGATTTAAGATCTAGGGCAAATGCAGCAATGTGGTTGGACTTGGATCACATGACAAGGGGAGAGCACATACAGGAGATATAGGACTAGGTAGAAAACCCAAAACATGAAAACATTTATGTCCCCACTGCAGAGGAACTAATACAGAAACCTTAAAGTGACAGAGGTTAGCATGAGAAGGGGATCAGGAACCACTGTAAAGATCAGTTAGAGATGAATCAACATGGTTGTAACACATTTGTACATGAAAGCAATGCTGGGACTCTTTTTATAGCTATCCTTAACTCAACTAGCAAAAATATTTTGTCTTTCTTATTATGCTTATGTCTTTTCTTCAACAAAATTAGAGAGAAGGGAAGAACAGGACCTGCCTGGAAGGGAAGGGGGGAGAGGGGAGAAGGGTGGGGGAGGGGACATGAAGGAGAAATGACCCAAATAATGTACACACCTGTGAATAAATGAATAATAATAAAAAAAGAAAATCCAATTTACTATTTATCAGGTAATGCTGGTGCTTTAAGGCAGTCAACCACATTTGAACTGTTATATATAGTTAGAAGTACAATGTCAGTAGAACTCAGTTTTGGGGACAATTTAGATTATAGTATTTGGAGCAATATAGCTATGTCAAATTTGACGGTTTCTGGAAATGGTCTAGGAAGTTTTGGCTGATTATCCAAAAGTAGATTAACATGGATCCTATTTTTTTTCAAGGCACACATTTTAAAATATCAGTACTAAAAATTTTATGCTCATATTTCCATTTTAGGCATTGTCAACTAACTTTCTACCATGGAAGATATTAACAGTTATCTTACATGCCCTCTTCCCTTCTTCTCATCCTTCCAACATTGTTATATTACATTTTTAAGTTATTATTTAGAGTTTGTATTTTATGACCATGTAACTATTGTTCCCAGTTTAGCAATGTAATAATGTCAGTATAATTCAGTTTTGGGGGTGTATTTAGTTTGACTAAATACTAAGTTCTATGACTATTCTTTTTTCACATATAAACCCCCTGGGAGTGATTAATTATTTACCTATTTTAATTTCTTTCTCTCTTTTTTTGCGGTATTGAGGTTTGCTTGAGCCACTTACTAGCCCTTTCTTGTGAAGGGTTTTTTCGAGATATGGTCTCTTAAACTATTTGCCCTGGCTAGCTTTGAACTGTGGTCCTCCTGATCTCTGCCTCCTAAGTAGCTAGGATTACAGGTGTGAGCCACCACCAGCACCGGGACCCATTTTAATTTCTTTATTTACTTTTATTTAACTATTATAAAGAATACATTCCTGACCTCATCTGCAAAAATATAAAATTCCTCTAGCCAAACACATCATGAAATCTTTCTGTTGTATTTTCTACATCCTTGATGACCTTCTCCTGGAGCTCTCAGCCCCTGCTTACTCTGCTGCACAGGCCTGCTGTGTCTGTTGTCTGGCACTTCCTTCCTGCTCCCCTCCCACTAATCCTCCTCTTCTTTCTTTTCCTTTTTGAGTGGAACTGGTGTTTGAACTCAGGACTTTGAGCTTGCAAATCAGGCATTCTACTGCTTGAGTCATACCTTCAGACCTGGGGCTTCCCTTCTTTATAATCACAGAGATCCCCTTTGCCTTTTCCTATGTAGGAGCTCTTATTTCCTGGATCTCACACTTTTTATTTTCTTCGTTTATCTCCTTATTTTGGAAGAACAATTCTATTCAGGTAGCTTTTGGAGTATGGGCAAAAGGTAGATAAAGCTTTGAGATCTTACATGCCTAAAATTTTTTTTGTGCTGTCCTCACATATCATAAGTGGTTTGGCTGGGTATAGAGTTCTAAGTTGGAAGTTATTTTCATCCCTAATTGAATCTGTTGTTCAACTATCTTCTAATTTTAGAGTTGCTGAAGAGATAACCAATCTATCCTGATTCTTGATCATATGAACATGTCCAACTCAGAATGTATTTAGGATATCCTTTTTTTTCTGCAAGTGTTCTGATATCTTGCTATGATAATCTTGGCATGAAGTTTTTGGTTTACAGTGTAGACTTTTGGTGGACTCTTTTACTGTGATTGCTCCTACCCTCCAGTTCTAGAGAATCATGGAATAATATTTCTCTAAAAAAAATCCTCCATTTATTTTCCCTGTACCCTATTTGAGGTATCCCTATCAGTTGGATCTTGGACCTCTTTTTGCCTTATTATTTGTCTTTATCTTTTAATTTTACTGCCTGGGATAATTAATTTATTTGTTTTAATTTTTTAATTATTATTGTACTGGGGTACATTGTGGCCTTTACAAACATTTTTACAATATAATATACCATAGTTGAATTCACCCCCTCCATCATTCTCCTTTATCTCCCCTACCCTTCCATTCCCGGAATAGTTTCAACAGGTCTCATTTTTCCACTTACATATGTGATTATATAATATTTCTACCATATTTACTGTCCCACACCCTTTCCATATATCCACCCCGTCTCCCACTGATACCAATTCCCCCAGACAGGATCTGTTTTGCCTTCCTGTTCTCTAGTTTTGAAAAACAAAAGACATTTTTGTTCTGCCTAGAAAGGTGGGGGCCGGGAGGGAGGTGTCCCAAACAATGTATACATGAAAGTAAATGTAAAAATGATAAAAAAGAGACATTTTTGTTTGTTTAAGATAGCTATACAGAATGTTTCATTGTGACATTTCCATGTATATATGTATTATAACTCGAATTGGTTCATCCCTTCTATTTTTCTCTGTTTGGGAGATTTTTTTGGGGGGTCAGCACTGGAGTTTGAACTCAGGGCCTCACTTGCTAGGCAGGTGCTCTACCACCTGAGCCACACCACCAGCTGTTTGGGAGAGTTTAGTAACTATCTTTACTTCTATTTTTTCTGCTATCATGTTTTTAATATCTAGGATTTTTTTTCTTTTTGGCAATACTGAGGATTGAACTCAGGGTCTTGTGCTTGCTAGGCAAGTGCTCTACCACTTGAGCTATGTCTCAGTTCTTAGGATTTTTTCCCCCCTCAATACCCAGCAGAAACTATTTTGCCCGTATTTCTAATTTTGTTGTAGAGAGAGTATAAGCAATAATAGGAAGGAACAAGGGTTTTTGCTGGTTGAGATAAGGATAGCTATACAGGGAGTTGACACACATTAATTTCCTGTGTGTGTGTGTGTTACCTTCTAGGTTAATTCTTTGTGATGTAACCTTTTCTCTAGTTCCTGGTCCCTTTTTCCTATTGGCCTCAGTTGCTTTTAAGGTATTTGCTTTAGTTTCTCTGCATTAAGGGCAACAAATGCTAGCTAATTTTTTAGGTGTCTTACCTATCCTCACCCCTCCCTTGTGTGCTCTCGCTTTAATCATGTGCTCAAAGTCCAATCCCATTGTTGTGTTTGGGCAGGTTTTCAAAATGTTACTGAGAGCTGATTTCTTTTCCCAAACTGCTCCACTTGAGATGAAAAGTTAATTTAAATGAATCATACAAAGATATTGACACAGCTAAACTTGGTGCAAGCTGCTGGGGTTTTAAACTTCTCCCTAAAACCTTGAAATGCTGGTTAATTTAGTTCTCTCACAACCAAATGAAAAAGCAATTTGCACATCTCACTTGCCCTTGTAGGAAGATAGTGACTGCGTTAAAATGAATGAGATTGTCTTTGGTCTTGATGCTTTGTATGTTCAGCAAACAAACTCAGGTTTATTGGGTAAGAAAATGAATGGATCAGCAAATGAGGCTTGCTTTGCAACCTACGACAGTCTCAAAAATAATTTCTACACTACATAATCAAGGCCCAAAGCCCTTAATTCTGTTCAAAGGCTGCATAAGGGAAAAGCAATGGGCAAATTAATAGTTACATTAGTATTCCAATGCATTGTAAGTAAATTACATTTGAGTGAGGAAGCAGTTGCTTTTTTAATTATTAAATTCTATTTTGATTTGTGAAACGATGATTAGATTATAAAGATATTCTTGAACATTTCAAGCCTTGCATTTTACATTCTTTTCTACTAAAAATAATATGTGATTTAGAATATTAAATAAGATTCATGATTTTGCTCTGATGTTATCTACATTTTTACAAATTCAATTGCTGACCACAAGATATGTTACATAACCAAATTCCGTAAATTAACATTCTAGGCCTCCAAGTAAAACTGCTCAATCAATATCTTCTCCTCCTTTTATCAGCTACCCATGATGGAGGCCTTGCCTTACTTTGGCTGTGGACATATAAATGCCTCTGCTCTAACGATTTAAAAGTAATTTATTTTCAGGTTCAATTAGAAATTGTTTTGTTCAATTTAGTAGTTGACAATGGTATGCTAGATCAGAAAAGTTCCTGCTGCCATTCTCTCTATATGCATCCTGCAACATGGAAGCCGATAGACACTTGGAGCTGTTGAATTCTTAAGAAGTATCTATGCCACAAAGAAACTGAATTTTTAATTTTAATTAATTTATATTTATATGACTACATGGAGCTAGTGATTACTACCTTGGGCAGCACAGCTTTACATCATTATAACTGATTCATACACAAGAAACTTTCTCTTTAATGCTCTTTTAAAGTTTAGAAATTTAAAAAGTAGAAACTCTCAGTTGTTTGCTTTGAAATTGATGCCCAATGATCCATTTCTTGTCAATAGTTGTAGAATAAATAGGTTGATTTAAAAATTAGTCATTAAATACTCATTTAGTCATTAGATAGTCTGAAGCTTCAACTACCTGGCAGGAAGGGAATACATTATAGGTTGTAGAATTACCTAGCATATAATTAAGTGCCAACTCCACACTGTGGATCTAACAGAAAAATTCATTTGTGAGTCTTAACCTGGTCTATTTCCAAAAGACATGGATGGCAAAAGGTAAAGCATTCTTTTTAGTGCTAAAGCAAACCCTGAGTTACTGGAAAGAAAATGAAATACTGAATATCACCTAGGTGTTACGAACTAGCTGTAAATAATACGCTTATTTAAATATGCTTGTTTCATGTGCTGAAGCATTGGTGTATTCCATAAACCTACCAGCTCTCAAAATAGGATTCCTGTGTTAAGCTATTGCCCTACCTGGCACCAAAAGCAACTCCACAGACACTGAACTTTGACATTCTAAACAAATATGTTGCTCTTCACAGCAGTGACATACATCTGGCTGGAGAGAGTAATTGTAATGCAGGGAGCAATGCCACATTCTGCTCCATCACTTAATGATCAATTATGTTTCATAAAGTAATTCATAAGACATATCAGGTCATTCCGCAACAATGTAACTGCTAGCCTCTGCATGGCCTTGCTGGTATGGTTAATTAACCTGAACAATGCATGGCACATTAGACGAAAAAAAAAAAATCAGCAATTTTTTTTCTGTTTGGGAGGAGGGGAACTCCTGCTAAACCCAAGACTGTACGAGACTGGAAAATGACCCAACAAGCACTCATGGAGACAGATGTTGCTCTCTCCCTGTTATAGTGACATTTACCTGAATGAGGTTGGCAGCTGGGTTCCTTCTTTTCTCAAAGTGTTTCTGGCGGTGCTGTTCCTGTACTTTTAATGCAAAACCTGAGCCTAGAATGCCCTGGAACAAAATATAAAAATAGTGCTATAAAAACAAATTTCAAAAGCACTGTGAAATAATACAAATATTTAAAAAACTTCTAAAATGTGTCTTTGAGAAGACAAGCAGCATGTATTCTGTCTATAACAAACACATTACTTGTTAAAACAAATGCTATTTATCTCTATTATAATGCAATCGAGGATGGCAAGTTGTTGGCAGTGTTGCAAGAGACAGAATGACTTCTGTTCTTCAGCAAACCAGTTAGGCATCAGCATTTATTGTCTTGTGGTATAATAAGAGACACCATAATTGCAAATACAAATGACAATTAAATTTTTCTGTGTGTGGCCTTCTCCATGACATTTTTATGCCTAAATATGAGTGAGTGGACTGATCTGTGATAGAATTTAGAGGGCATGAACTCTGATTTTGGGCAGAGTTGGATTTTGAATTCAGGAATGTTCAAGTGTCACTGCTGTGGACATGGGAGTACTTCTAGAACTTTGATGAAACTCTGAAATTGTGTGTATTCCACCCATAAAATGAGAGAGCAGGCGAGGGGGGGCGGTTGGCAGTAGTCCTTCATGGTGCTATAAATATACCAACCATAGTAAAGTGAAGAAGAGTGGGGGGCAGTTATCCAGATGAGATAAATGGGATCTCATTTTGAAGCTAGAGGTTTTCCATTTTGCCTGTTTTACAATAAAGGCAAGAGTGTGGGTCACGGCAAAGCATGTTCCTATTTCCCTCAGCATTCCTTGTCTTTTTGGTTTTGGCCAGCTATTCAGATTTTGGGGTTAGTAAGATTAGTATTCCTCCTGAGTTTACACTAACTATTATTATTATTTTTGGGCTAGATTGCTTATTACCTTGATCTGCCAAAATTCTGGTTCTTTGATGTTCCCTCTCTGTTCATTTTGTTTCGGTCTAACATTTGTGAAATCAAGGTGCTTTTTGTCTCAACCTTGGTTGGTCAGAGCTTGCTAAATTTGGTCTCTGGGCTTTGTCTATATTCTCGACTTTGTTAGTATGGGACTTGGAGCTCCACTGCTTTCAAGTTTGTGGATTTTACTTGCAAGCTATAAGTTATTAGCTTTTTATTTAACTTCAAGGAGTCTAACCCTTAGGTTAGAGATAGGCATCTTATAAGCTCTAAGTCAGCATTTGCCATAGGTAAGAATGGTTGCTTTTCTTTTCTTTGTATTTTTTAAGTAGTTCAAAGATGGTATAGGCTGACTGAAGGTGGGTTTTTTTTTTTTTTTATCTCTAAGAGGTGTCAAATCTTGGCTGGGTGACAACTTGGCTGAGATATTTTGAGGCTCTAGTAGCCTTTAACCTTTCTCTTATCTTGAGATTTCACAATTCTCAGTATATCTGTGACAATAACCAGACAATAAGTGAAGTAATACAATCATAGTTAAAACACACAATTATAAAATTATACTATTTGCTGCTAGTGAACAATGATTATTTTATTATTATTAATTAGGATAAGCGACTATGCCATGACGTTAGCCATGGCACCACAGGTTCTGTTTTGCATCTGTTTTTTCAGCGTGTGTCTCATGCTGTCTAAGAGATCCATCTCAGGCAGGTTGTAGTTGCACAAATTAAGCTTTATGAAAAGCTGGATAACAGATTTATAGAACATTTCCCTCCACATGGAGGTTGTAAAATGGCTCTTCATTTCCAAATCCAGCTCAACTCTAGTCATTTGCAACTCCTAATTTTTTTCTATTATGTAAGACTATTTAGAATGATTAACTGATTTTTCTTTCAATTTTACTTTACATGACATATAAACATGTAGGAGAGAATACGAAACATCAGAATTTATAGCAGTTATTTACAGTAAGTCTTAGCTGTGCACATATTATGTGCGTATTTGTGTATAATCTATTGTTAGGGAGTACAAGTCAGATTTTGTAAGCATCAAATTAATAGCATTCATTAAGTGGATATGAGGTTCAGCATTAAATCCCTTTGGAAAATGAAGGCAGGTCCTACATAGCACAAATCTAGCATCTACCCAATAAATAAGATGTGCAAAAAAGCACACTGTATTGCTTAAAAACATCTATTAGTAGATGGCAACAGCTTGCTATGTATCTCTTGTGCCAGACTGTACATTACAGCAGTTATTAAATCAGGTCTGCTCATTGTCTCATCATGGCCCCACTCCAACTTTCTTCCACCTCCTTCTTAGCATGTAGGTCGGTGTGCTTACATAGAAGTCTGCTAAAGTCTGTTATGAACACACACACACGCACCATGGTTTAATCGACATCAATAGATGAAAATGCTTAGAAACTGAGTTTTCTTTTCATTTCAATTATTTCTTTTCTAGGATAACAAATATTAAAATTATTAGGCTTTAAGTGATAGTAGTTGTCAAGGGGTGCTACATAAATACCAAATAGAAAAAAATTGCTTTGGTAAGCATTTAAAATAGTCACCTCTCTTTATCTTCTATCTTAAATGAGCCTAATTTGTACCCTGTGGCAAACAAGCTAGGCTGAGATTTTTTTTAATAGTTGTTAATATTTTATTATATATAATAATTGTATTTTCAAATATTGTTAATGATTATAGATAATGGCTACCATTTATTTATTGAATGGTTAACATCTTGAGTCAAACAGAATTAGTCCTTGCATTAAACTTACTAGCTGGATGTCTCAAGGAATTCAGTATCTATAAAACTCAGTTTCTCCATCAGTCAAAAGTTACTTAGAGCTGGAATGTCCAGCAGAAGTGTGGCAGCACCCTCAAGAGGGGAAAGAGCTGTTTGCCTGGGTGATACATAGGAGCTGGTTTGGGCTTCCTCCATGAGCTCACTAGCCTGGGGGTGGAGTGGGCCCCAGAGGAAGTGGTCCCCAGGATGGGTGGCCTGTGCCATTCTGTGAGGGGCAAGAGAGTCCTGTTTTGGAGATGAGATGGGGAAACCTTGGTTCTCAGGTTTCCTGAGTGAGAAGAACCCCAAACAGGAGAGACTCTAAATCCATCTCTATCTTTCTCAGCAAAATGCCAATGCATTCTCCTAAATGTCAGTTAGACAGCACTGCTGGCAGGCAGGAGCACAAGACAAAAATGACAACTCAGCACCTATTTGTGAGGCTATAGTAAAAAGATCCCTAAGAAAGGCTACTTTCCTTGCATTGTTAGGAAATGTTCTGTTCTGTGCAAGCACATTTTTCAGATTTCCAACATTGTGTTAATTTAAGTTGCATATAAAAATTGTAATCACTTTATTGGAAATACTTCCAAGAATGACTACTTAGTCTCTGACCTTTAACTTAACACAGTGACACAATTTAACCTCCTGGAATAGTCCAGAGCCTCATTATGGGGGCCAGGCATGTACTGGATGCAGCCAGCTTCCAGAACCAGGTTGACCCCAACACTAATTGGCCAGGTCTTCGCACACTTTGAACACTTCTGTCTTCTTTCTGGCTACAGACTTTTGTTTCCCTCATTGCTGTTTCTTACATTTCATCCTGCTATAATGTTTGTTTTATTAGCCTCCCTCTACATTGCTGTTTATAATCTTCAAAGCATTGTGAACTATATAGGTCAATTTACCAGAATTTTCTCTGATAATGAAGTAAGGTTGTGAATTAGGTTTCAAGTGGGTATCTTATGAAATAACCTATATACCAGGGTCTATTTTAGCTATCCAGTTATACATGTGACCACAGGGTAAATATGTACACCAAACAGAAGATACTTTGTGCATTATTTCAGGGAAAGAAATCCATGACTGCATTTTACTGTTTCTAAAGGTGTCTCCTGTACAGAATCTGATTCTTGAGTCAGAATCTTATTAGTGAGTGACTGCTCTGTTCTGGATTGTTGAAATTGTCACATGAATAATAAAAGTGAGGCTTTTTTCTTTTTGGTGGTGGTACTGGGTTTTGAACTAAGGATCTGAAGCTTGCTAGGTAGGTGCTCTGCCACTTGAGTCATTCCCTTAACCCTTTTTGCTTTGGTTATTTTTCACGTAGGATATTGCATTTTTTTTGCCTAGGACTTGCTTCAGACTTGGTCCTCTTACTTATGGTCTTGTGTAACATCACACACAGCTTATTGTTTGAGATGGGGGTCTCATTAACATTTTTCTCAGGTTGGCCTCAAACTGTGATCCTCCTGGTCCCAGCCTCTTGAGTAGCTGGAATTATAGGCATGAGCCATGGTGCTGACTGATAGTGTGAGTTTTTCTTTTTTACTGTTTTTGATTCCATCATTTTGCAGCAGGAAACATGTGTTTATATATTTTTACAGGTGAAGGGAAGTAACATTTCTTGAATATTCTTCATAATAAACATTTGGCTTACATGATCACATTATTCATAACAAAACTTATCTGGGCTCAATAATTCTTCCTCCATTATACTGATGAAGAAACATACTAAAAAAGTCACTGTCTGAGCTGAATGTGCCCCCTCCATTCATATGTTGGCGTCCTAATCACTATACCTCAGAATGTGATCTTATTTGAAGACAGGACCCTTACTGAAATAATCTAGATAAAATGAGGATATTAGGGTGGTCCCTAATCCAATATGAGTGATGCCCTTATAAGATGAAGAAATCTGGACACAGATGATGTGAAGACACAGGAAAAAGATGGCCTTTGACAAGACAGTGAGAGAGTGTTGAGGCATATCTTCCGTCATGGCTCTCAGAAGGGACCAGCCCTGCCAACACCTTGATTTTGGACCTCTAGCCTCCAAAAACTGTGAGATAGTAAATTTCTACTGCTTAGAATACCCGGTCTGTGGTACCTTGCTACAGCAGCACGAACACACTAATACAGTCACACGGTGTGTGTTTAACAAAAGGTCAAACTGAGGTCCAATGCCCAAGCAAGTGCATAGCCTTTTCGGTCTCTTTGCTGTGACTTTGAGTGATCTAGGGCAGAACCAGTTAGTCAGTCTGGGCACTGACTATGGGAAGGTCATTAACAGGCAGACAGAGGAGGAGCCCTGTGAGTTAAAGACTGAGCTGCTAAAAATCTCCATGTGACTTCCCCACTTGCTTGGCTTCCTTTGTGGGTGTTCTTGGGTTCTGCATGACAGAACCCAAAGCATCAGCTTGTGCCTGTTTTCCGTAGGCACACTGCTGCCACTGTCCCAGCACTCCTTTTTGTTGACTTCCCCACCTCTACCCTAGGTGGAGTGGATAAAAATGAAAGCCTGGGGATAGGGGAGTCAACATTGTAATATTACAACCAATGGCCTCTAATGAAACAAAAGGATAAGATGACCACACAGGCAAGCCTTGTCCATGAAGGAGAAATTTCACCAGAAGCTTGGGGGAAGGTAAATGTGCTCTTCATTCTGATAAGATGCAGAAACTGCTCATTAAGAAAAGTCAATGACAATGACATAAAGAACAAATCATCAGACACATTTCAAACACTTAAGGTCATAGGTGTTTCACTCAAAGGGATCTGAAGAGGAAAATACTTCATTTGTGTATATCTGTCTCTTCAGCCGTATGCAGTATAAACCAAAGCGAGCGATCAGTTTAAAATGAAAGTATGTTTAAAACTTTACAGACATTAAAATCTTCAGTGGCATGTTGACTGAAAGGTGCTGCCACCTTTCAGAATTATTATTTTGGCGTAAAGCTGCTATTAACATCTCAAGACTCTATATTCTAAATTATCCAACTAGATATATTTAGAAAAGGCATTTCATTAGAAAAGATGATATATGTCAGCGATACAGATGTGTTTCCAAGCAAACCCGCCCATTTGTGAGCACTCACTCAGGTTAACCCCAAAGACCTAGAGTTGCTTTTCTGTTGCAAAGATACTCACGGCAGGAAGTGCAAAGAAAGAAATGCCAAGGAGTGCAAAGCCTGCAGAAAGCAATCTTCCCAGCCAAGTTAGTGGAGTTTTGTCTCCATAGCCAATAGTGGTCAATGTAATCTAAAAACAAAATAAATAGAACATCCAGCTTAAGTACTTGCAAAGAAAGTTAAGACCTAGTAACAGGAGGCAAAGCAACATTTCTACTAAATCATTATTCAAGAAGTCTTGTTGACGCATTTTATGACTGTGCTTTAATTTTCCATGACGCATACCAGAACTCTCCTTGTTTAAGGAAAGGAATAACCTACATAGTTGTTCCTCCCCAGTTTTCCATCTTTTCTAAGTGTTTTCAAAGAAAGGGTATTTAAGTGCGCAGATAACCATCAGCGATGCAGCAGTGATAGCACTGTGGATTTAGGACTGAGTCAGTCCTCCAAACAGCAATTTATGTTAATTAAGGTTGTCCATTCATTACCTTGGCAGGCATTTCCTGAAGGTCTGGTGTGTGCAAGGTACATGTTATAATTTATAGTGGGACCAAACTGAGTGCTGCATAGTTCTTGTCCTAAGGTATTTACAGCAGAGTGAAGGAGGCGTGTACACACCACGATTAAAACACGAAATAGGGGACGCAGGGATGAGAGTGGGAATTCAAGAAACACATCGACCATTCCTGGCTTCGGGATGAGGAGGCTCAGCTGGGGGAATTGTTGTCATTCCTAGGCTTTGAAGGAGGGATGACGTCTTGAGAGGCAGAAATGATGAAGAAGGGCTCTGGGGAGGGGAACAGGTGGCCAGTTGCAGAGTGGTGAGAACGCACAGAGCAGGTTCTGGAAAGGAGGGTATGTTGTACTGGAGCATAGGGGATTTGAGGAAGATGAGTCAATTCTTTGGTTTCATTAATGATTTATAATTTTCAGTGTACAGCCTTTTACTTTCTTGGATATATTTATTCCTAAGTATTTTTTGGAAGCTATTATGAATGGAATTATCCTTGTGATTTCTTTTTTTCAGAAAATTCCTTGTTAATGTATAGAACTCTTCTGACTTTTGTGTCCCGCCACTCTACTGAATTTATTTGTACTAACTTTTTCTTGTGTGTGTAATATAGAGTTTTCTATATATAAGTTCAGGTCATCAGGAAACACTGATAATTCATTTCTTCCCTTTCTGTTTGAGTGCCTTTTATTTCTTTCTCTTGCCTAACTGCTCTGGCAGGGACTTCCAGCACTATATTGAGAAGCTGCAGAAGTGGGCATTTTGTCTTGTTCTGGATCTTAGAGGAAAGGATTTCAAATTTTCACTGTTCAGCATGTTTGTGGCGGGATTTTCATATATGATCTTTATTGTGTTGAGGTATGTTCTTTCTATACCTAATTTTTTGTTGAGAGTTTTTTTTTAATCATGAAAAGATGCTGAATTTTGTCAAGTGCTTTTTCTGTATCTAATGAGATGATCTGAAATAAACCAAGCATGAAAAGACAAATACCACCTGTTCTCACTTATGTGTGGAATCTAACAGTCAAACTCAAAGAAGCACTGAGCTGAATGGTGGTTCCTGCAGGCTGGTGGTTGGAGAAATGGGGGATGATGGTCAACAGTTACAATGCTTCAGACAGGAGGAATAAGTCTTTTATTGTTATTGTTGTTCAAGATCTATTGCACTGTGTGGTGAAGATGACTGATATTAGTATAGTGTATATTGCAAAATCACTGAGAGTATATTTCAAATGCTTTCACCACAGAAAATAAGAAAAATAAATATTTGAGGTGAGAAACCCTTAATTAGCTTGATTTAATTATTCTACATTTATAGTTCTACACCAGGCCATTCTTCTGAGCTCTGGATTCACTACTCTGCAGTTGATATTTCTGTTTGGATGCCACATATTCGTTTAAACGTAATGGGCTAAAATAGAACTCATTTCTCCCACCCTGTGAATCCCCAAATGTGTCCCTTCTCATCTCAGCTAAGAGCAGCACACCATTCTTTCAGTAGCTCACGTCGGGAGCCTCTGGACCATCTTAATTATGTCATGCCCTTGCTCCCCTCACACAATCTATCAGCAAGACCTGTTGAATCTGTTTCTTTAAGATAGTGTAAATCCATCCCTTTCTGTCTTCACTGCCACCCTGGCAGACCAGGTTGCTACACTAGCCTCATAATTGCTCTCTCTGCTTTTGTTCTTGCCGTTCTTGAGCTCCTTCTCTATATACCTCAAGGGATACTATTTTCTCCCTTCCCTCTAAACATCTTTCGATGGCTATCTATTGAATTCAGAACATTTTCTTAGCTCCTAACTGTGGCCTATGTGACCTGGTCTCTGCCTGCCTCTCCAGGATCATCTTGATTTCACCTGTGCTCATGGCACTTTGATAATAGTGGGTTTCCAGATCTTCAAACAAGCCAGGATCTTTCTGCCTTAGGGCCTTTGTACATTCTGTTCTATCACTGGAATCAGCCCAGGCTGTAATCAAACTTGTGATCCTCCTGACTCAGCCTCCTGAGTGCTGGGTTTACAGATGTGCACCACCACACTGGGCTCAGCTCCTTGTTTCTTAATGGTATTTATCACAAGTGGAAGTTTGCTGTATTTTTCTCTGGGGAGGGGTCTCTTTCCTTTACCAGAAAGAGGAACAATGACCTTCCTGTTTGTTATCTCCATAATGTTCAGCATGATTCTGGCTACATAGCAGAAAAAAACTCATTAATTGTTTAGAAAGCAAGTGGAGAATCCTTTCAAGAACACTGGCAGCAAATGGAGTGCGAACTCCTGGAAACCTCTGACGCAGAAGAGGCTTTCTAGGATGTACTTGTGCATATTTCAGAGGGTGAAACTGAAGAGGGAAGGTGTGGTGGCTTTATGATGGGGGACAGTACCAAGAGGCAGAGGAAATGGGGCCAAGGGCACAGCTGCAGGGTCAGCCTTGGCATGGTCAGGACAGCCCTTCAACAGTGGGGATGGTGTGGGTACAGTTAAGTGGGAATAGGATTGGAGGGCTTTGTCAGTCCCTTCAGTTTCAGTGAGGATGTAGGTGGGTCCTATGAGGAGTCACAGGCCTTGTCAGGGGAAAGGTCTGGGGATTGTGGGTACGAGAGGATGTGGGTACAAGCAATAGGAGGCCTCTGGGTGGAGGAGCTCAGCCATGGTCAGAGAGAGGACATGTGTAGTACAGTCTGGTAGCCAAGGTGATCAAATGTTATTAGGATCAGCCTAGGACTCTCAAAGGAATTTCTTGAGAACACCAAAGAGGAAAAAAAAACAAATCAAATTTTTTATAGTTTCCTAATCCCAAATATGTGGGAAAGATTTTAATGTACTGTATATTTTCTGCAAAATAGCTTCATCTTTTATTAGTAATAATATACTGAAGGAGAAATACCATGATTTGGTCAAGCAAAAATGTTACATTTCATGGCTTGCTCTTATTTCAGTAACATAAGTTACTCTGCCTGGTAAAGTACTGAGAGGGTAGGATTTGAACCACTGTCTCTACGTCTGAAGAATGAGACACAGGAGTGTAACAAGAGAAGAGCACCCCAAGAAGAGAAGACATCCTATTTTGTTTTATTTTGAATGTAGGTTTTCCCTTTTTCCTATATGGGTGGTCTGTGTAGAGGGGGACTATAGAAGGTTGTGGACTTAGAGCAGTGCCCAGGATCTCTTGAGGATGGGTAAAGATTGTCCACCTCTTTGCACTATGATTCAGGCTTCTGGGATGACTACAATTCCAAGTGCAGGAGACCTGAATAACTAGTAGCTGAACCCCTGACCTCAACAACTTCAAAGCAACTCAGGAAATTTCTTGGTTGGAAAGTCTAGGCGATTTTTGTTGACAGGCCAGGCTTGGGAAAGATCTTGCAACAGGGCTGCAGGTTGTTCCCTCTCTAACAGAGAGGGAAGTTGGTAGAAGTTTGTTCATCCTTTCATTTCTGTGGACACAAAGAGACACTGGGCTTTGTGATGTGATCAGAGGGGTAGCACCAAAGCTATGAAGTCTCATGAAAGTGGAAAGGACACTACCAGGGAAAGGCACAGGAACAGGGGAGGGGGTGGGAGGGAAGAGATGGTAATGGGGAGCAAGATGATCAAAGTATGTTATATGCTTATATGAAAAGGTTCCAATGTAAGCCATTAGTTTGTACAATTAATACATGCTAATAAGGAGGAAAAATTATGAAGTCTCCAAGATGTGAATCTTCTCAGGAATCCACAATGACCCATCTGATTGATATAGCTATCAGTTTTCTAGAGCAAGGTCTAACTGCATTTGATAAAACCATGCTTAGATGAGCCCCTCATAGACATTGATTTTCTGGACTTTCAAGGGGAGCTGCCCTTGAAGAAGAAGCAAGTGTCCTTGGAGTAGCACAACTATGTTTGTTTCTTTTCTTTTCTCAGCACTGTTGATGGCAATTAGCTAGCTGATCCTTTGCATGAAAACCCTGAGGCAGAAACCTTCTTGGTGCTAACTCTCCCATGCTTATGCTAAACAATGAACCATTCCTCCTTCTAGAAAATTTATCATGTCTCATTGGCTAAACCCAGTAACGTTTAGTTTCATGTAGGTCCAGAGTCAGAGAAAGACAGGCCCATGCAGAGCCCACAGACCCCAGCTTGCCAGGATGGTTGGGAAGGTCCTGCAACAGCAGCTTGTTCAGAGAACCTTGAGAGGCTGCGTGATCTTCAGGGCTTGGAGGAAATTACACCTGGACTTCACAGGAATTTGGTGGTGTGGCAGTTGATTCATTCTCTCTTCTTAGATCTCCAAGATCTCAGTAGCAGATGGCTGATTTTTATTGTGGCTCATCATCTCTGTATTGCAACTGCTCCCACACTGAGTGCCCAGTGGTTATCAATTATAGTACGCAGTTAGTTTAGTGGTATGGACTGCATGAACTTACAGAGCAAGAGTGGATTTTGGGAAAAACTAAATCTAGTAATGGAGTCCTGTTATAACAAAAAACAAGTCAGTAAATAAGGCACCTCCCTTGCCATAGCAGTGTCTTTAAACAAGGGACCCAATATTAAAGATAAAGAACTACATCCTTCTCTGCAAATCCCTCATCACCCCTGTGTTGTGGCATTCCTTGCCAGTTCTACCTGCGATGTGAC